ATAGCTTCCAATTTAGCAGGATCCATACTAAAACCCTGTTCAGAAATTATATATCCCAGGAATTGCACAGAGGTCTGATCGAACAGACATTTTTCTAACTTACAATAAAGTCCGTTCTGTAATAATTTTTTAAGCACCATCCTAACATGTTTATGATGTGACTTCAAATCAGGAGAATATACAAGTATGTCGTCAAGGTACACCATGGCACAGACATGCAATAGATCCCTAAGGACATCGTTTATGAGATCCTGAAACACAGCAGGAGCATTACACAGTCCAAAAGGCATGACCAGGTATTCATAATGCCCACTACGCGTATTGAACGCTGTCTTCCACTCATCATTCTCCTTTATACGGATAAGGTTATAAGCTCCCCTGAGGTCTAGTTTAGTAAAGTACTTAGAACCTTTAACGCGGTCAAACAACTCAGTGATGAGGGGGATAGGGTAGGCGTTTTTAACCGTTATATTGTTCAGACCCCTGTAGTCTATACACGGCCTCAAATCGCCCTCCTTCTTTGCCACAAAAAAGAAACCAGCACCAGCAGGAGAGGAGGACCTTCTAATAAAACCTTTCCTTAAGGATTCTCGTATGTACTCCTCCATGACCTGGTTTTCTTTCTCAGAAAGAGGGTAGACCTTACCCCTAGGGGGCATAGTGCCCGGTAAAAGGTTTATGGCACAGTCATAGTCACGATGTGGAGGTAGCTTATCTGCCTCCCTCTTTTCAAAAACCAATGCAAGATCAGCATATACAGAAGGGACAGAAACAGAGAGTGGTTTAGCCGTGGGCACGTTGAGTAAACAAACAGGACGTACCTGAGCCATACAGTCTCGTTGACAGGATTCCCCCCAGGATAGTATATCCAAGCAACCCCAATCGAGAACAGGGTTGTGTTTCACTAACCAGGGAAAACCCAGAACGATGGAAGCAGTAGGGGAGTCAATTATTTGGAAGGTTAACCTTTCCTTATGCAAAACACCTACAGACATCACTATTTCTTGGGTCTCATGGGTCACCAGAGGTTTCTCAAGTGGTCTACCATCTATGGCCTCAACGACCAAGGGTGTGGCCTTTTGGATCAAAGTTAAGGCTGCGGTTTTAGCAAAGTTCTCATCCATAAGGTTGTCTGCCGCACCTGAATCGATCAAGGCTTTGGTGGTTATGGTGGTTTTATTGACCAAAAGAGAAACCGTAATAAACGGTCTGGAGATGGACACATGAGGGGACAAAGTCATAACACCTGAGGCCGACCCCTCTCTAGGCCTTAGGTGCTGTAGTTTCCCTGTAACTTAGGGCAGGCATTACAGTGGTGCCCCCTCTTTCCACAATAAAGGCATAACCCCTCCCTTCTACGATATGCTCTTTCAGCCTCAGTTAGCCCCGTAGCACCCAATTGCATGGGTTCGGGGGTTGGTTGACTAGGAGCGGGTAGTGCTAGTAAAGCAGTAGAGGGGGGAGCAGGTAATGCCCGTGTATCCATCCGTCTTTGACTACGCCTCTCTCTAATACGGTTATCAATAAGAATGACATAATCTATGACATCATCTAGAAGAACAGGCAATTCCCTGGATGCTATTTCATCCAGTATGTAGGCGGCCAAACCCTCCTGAAAGGCTGTTACGAGGGCATCATTATTCCAAACCACTTCAGCTGCTAGCGTGCGGAATTCGATAGTATAATCCGCTACAGATCTATTACCCTGTCGTACCCTAAGCAGAGCTTTGCCAGCAGAGGCAACCCTACCGGGTTGATCAAACGTACGTTTGAAAGCTGTCAAGAACTCTACAAAGGACATAGGAGATGTATTCTCCCACATGGGGTTAGCCCATGCTAAAGCTTTCCCGGACAGGTGGTTAATCAAAAAGGCAATTTTGGATCTGTCAGTGGGATAGGAACGTGGATTCATCACCAAATGGATGTCAATTTGGTTAAGGAAACCACGACACAATGCTGGGTCACCGCTGTAGCGTTGTGGCGGTGTCATGTGAACAACATGAGCAGGAACGGGTACCGGAGTGGGAATGGGTTCGGGCACAGCAGCAGCAGCCTCCTGGACGGCAGGTTGCAAGTGTGCAGTACGAGCCAGTATGGTTTGTAAAGCTTGGGCAAACTTGTCCATACGGTGGTCCAAGCCATCCATTCTAGCCTCCTGATTAACTAGGAGCTGTGGGATGTCAGCAGGTTCCATTATGGCCCTGTTGTAATGTCACGATTCGGGGAACCAAACACGCCAACACACACACACACACAAAGTGCCGTACCGGACCTTAGAGTGGCCGGGCTAAGCACACAAAGAATAGTCAGGAAACAAGCCGAGTAAGGGGAACCAGAAGACAGAATAACGTGAAACAAGCCGAGGTCAAAGGGTAGGAGAAAGTCACAGAGTCGGATAACAAGCCAGAGAGTACGTAACCAGAAGCACAAGTTCAGAATCAATACTAACAAGCAAAGACCACAACAGGGCGAAGAGGAACAGGAAAGGTAAGTATATAAATCCAAAGGTTAATTCTGATTGGATAATTTCCAATCAGAATTAACAATCACACGTGGGAGATATCTAAACCTCCCACTGTGATTGAGGCACTGTGCCTTTAACGCCGGGTCAGGTGACTGACCCCGGTGTTGGTTAAAGTGGGCGGTCTCCCAGCGTGCAGCGTCATGCATGCTGCCGCTGGGAGACACAGAGGAAGAGGCGGACGGCACCCATGGGAGAGAGGGTGCCGCCCGCCGAGCACACGGCTGAAGGGGGACCGCGGACGGCTGGAGGGTGAGTGCCGCGAGCGGACTGCAACCTCCCCTCGCAGCCGCCCGCGGGACCCTGACACTATCAGCTGTATTGAGTAGCTTGCAGGGCTCCTTACATAAGAGTTATTGTTGAGTTAACGTGAAACTTGATATGAAAATTTTTACAAGAATCTCAAAGAATTCATGAAATGCGAATCATGACCAACTTAGCCAAAATTACAGGAAAGTTTTGGGGTTCCTCACTAATACTAATGAATTTTCCTCTTTTACCATGAGTTAAGTCTTTACATGAGATAGTTCAGGAAGCCTCAGAAAAGCTTGACAAGTATAAAGTTCAATGAACAGAACATCAACCATGGTTCATGATTTACCCAACTTCCTCCAATGTCAAGACAGGTTGAAAAATGGAATTTAGTGAATAATCCTTAATGTGTCAGTCAGTTACAACCCTTTTGTTATTGTGACAGAAACTTGTCAGGAAACACCTTCATCAATAATGATCAAATTATGGTGGCAAGATTAAAGTGACTTTTCTTTCTTGTAAATACACACAAAACTTCAGTGGTGGCACATTCCCATCATATTGATCTGCTTAACCATTTGTCATTTGCTTCCTTGCACTCTTTTTACACATGTAAAGAATTTGTCTGTTTTTAGCTTTTAAAAGGAAGGATATACATCACTTAATTTTCTCATTCACAAGCATTTGTTTTCAGTGGCGTCTCCAGGATTCATACCTGGGGGGGCACATAAGGGGCCAGGGACAAAAGAAGAGGGGCACATACATAGACATGTATACACATACATAGGGCTCAACAAATTCCAGGTGCCAGGTCACTATGGCGACTAGACATTTCACCCTGGCGCCTGGCATTTGTCAGCCCTTTGCTAAGCCGGGCAGGAAATATTAGAGCCAGCCGCCGCGGGGAGCATGGAGACGGCGTATGAGGGAGCAGTAACCTTCCTGCAGTTCCTCTCTGCTCCCTTGCACTTGCACGCTGTTTAGTGACATGATCCCCCGGCATCACTTCAGAGAGCGCACAGAGGAGCAGAGAGAAACTGCAGGAAGACTGGAAGGAGACACATTGGACGCCAGGGAAAAATCCATTCAGCTCTCCCAAAGGCTGGGTGGATTTAAATTAAAATAAAAATAGCAATTTTTGTGTGTGTGTGTGTGCCGAAAGGGCCTGTAAAGTGTGTGCGTGTGCTGAAAGGGGCTGCATTGTGAGTATATGTGTATTGGGGTTGCATTGTGTGCTTATCAAGAAGGAGCTGCAGTTATTTTATATATATATATATATATATATATATATATATATATGAGATATGTTGTGTAATGGGGTGAAGCATGTATGTATGTATGCATGTGTGTGTGGGGGTAAAGATATGTGGGGAAGAAGTGTGTATGTGGGTGAATAGATGATGCGTGTAAGGGGTGCATTGTGTGTGTATGCAAAGGTGTACTCTGTGTTTGTGGTAGTGTACTGTATGTGGGGGATTCACTGTCTCTGAGGGTGTACTGTGTTCAGGTGGTGTAGAGAGTGGGACAGTGAAGAGCTTTACAATTTTTACTTTAATTGTTTACAACAAAAAAAAGAATACTCCCCTTTCCCTCATCTTACCTTGCAGGGTGGGGGTGGCACAATCAGATCAATGGTGGCTGAGAAGGCTGCCTATCGATCGGGTACAGCGGAGGTCACGAGAGAGAGTTCTGTCTCTTGGAGCTCAAGCACTTACAGAGACTGACCCATACAAACCCACAGACAGACCCATACACACACACACACACACACACACTCTGCCCCACACATACACAGACTGATCCCCCCCACACACAGATGCACCACACAGACTGACCCATACATACACAGACTGACCAACCCCACACCGAATAGCCCACACACACAAAGTGACCCCCCCACACACCGACTGACCACCCACAACACACAGATTGACCCACCCCACACAAACTGACCCACCCCACACAGAACGACCCATACACACAAACTGACACACACACAGACTGATCCCCCCACACACAGACTGACCCCCCACACACAGGCCTGATACACACATACGGCCCATACACACACAAACTGACCCCCACAGACTGGCTGAGCCCCCCACCCCCACACACATGGGCCAGATCCCCACACACACACAAACCTGACCCCCCACACCAATACCTGCACAGACTGCCCCCCTCACACCCTCCCCCCCACCCACACACACACAGAGACTGATTAACACTTACCAACAGCTGTATGAGGTGGTGGAGTTTTTGGTGCTTGTATTCTGGATGTGTGGCAGCTTTGACTCCCCTAACCAGAGTCTCTTCTTTCTGGTGATATGGTTGATGTGCAGAAAAAGGTGCAGGGAGGCAGCGCCTGTGGTGTTGTTCTCAAATCCAAGGTAATATGTGAAATAAGCACAGAGAACGTAATATAGTGTAGTATGTCAGGAGTTCTGGTATCTTAACAAGGACAAAGGTTGTACTTACGATTTTCTGGAGCTTCTGTTCAGCTCCAGATTTATGCGCATGGACGAAATAATCCCCGGAATAATAATGGTAGTGTGTCCTCGTGCTTGTTAGTTGGTGCTGTTCTTCGTGCTTTTAGTGGTAGTGCCGTAGCCTGGCAGGGAGGTATCCTCAGTATGCAGAAGAAGAAATAAAAACAGAATATAGTGCTCTCTATATGTTAAAAATAAGGATAAAAATAAAACAAGATATACTCACAAATGGGGAGCAAATTGAGGTATTGCTCAACTCCCACTCACAACTACCTATCTCCTCCCAATAAACAGACCACTACTACCCATTTCCTAAAACCTAGGACCCCTAACAGACATATTTTGAAAGCCTCTTTATCACCTCAAGAACTCATCAAAAGAAACAGATTTTACACTTTATCATCTGACTACACTGACATCGAATACCATTTTTTAGAAATAGACAATACACAATATTCAACACATCCCCCTATAGAAGAAATGAGAAGAAAAAGAAGTTTAACATTAGAGGAAGAAGAGATGGGAGAAGGGTACAAAAAAGGAAAGAGGGAATAAACCATACCATCAACACAACAGCAAATTTAGACGCTGGCATTTTCAACTTATCCAACAAAATTTTAAACGCCACAAAATTAGCCGTTCTGAGAAAAGGCCTAAAATATGCCACAACACACAAATTTTCAGCCTTTATCGACATAAACAAATTTGTTAGAAAGGCCACTCTTAGAAGGTTCTATATAAGCAAAAAAGACACAAACCTACTAAACACTCCACAACAACCATCTGATTATAAATACACCAATCTAAAGCCTACCTCTACTTTCTACCCCTCCAATTTCAAATCCAGTAGCCTAGATACATTTGATAGGCTAGTTACTAGGGACCTTAGGAAAATCACCACCACTAAACACGACAAATTCAACCTAACTAAAAAAGAAAAGACCACTCTAGACAACCTGAAAAATAATGAGAGTATCGTAATCAGACCTGCAGATAAAGGAGGGGGTCTGGTCATTCTTCCTATAGAGATGTACATGAAAGATGCCCTCTTTCAATTAAATTACTCCTCAGTATACAGGGAGTGCAGAATTATTAGGCAAATGAGTATTTTGACCACATCATCCTCTTTATGCATGTTGTCTTACTCCAAGCTGTATAGGCTCGAAAGCCTACTACCAATTAAGCATATTAGGTGATGTGCATCTCTGTAATGAGAAGGGGTGTGGTCTGACATCAACACCCTATATCAGGTGTGCATAATTATTAGGCAACTTCCTTTCCTTTGGCAAAATGGGTCAAAGAAGGACTTGACAGGCTCAGAAAAGTCAAAAATAGTGAGATATCTTGCAGAGGGATGCAGCACTCTTAAAATTGCAAAGCTTCTGAAGCGTGATCATCGAACAATCAGCGTTTCATTCAAAATAGTCAACAGGGTCGCAAGAAGCGTGTGGAAAAACCAAGGCGCAAAATAACTGCCCATGAACTGAGAAAAGTCAAGCGTGCAGCTGCCACGATGCCACTTGCCACCAGTTTGGCCATATTTCAGAGCTGCAACATCACTGGAGTGCCCAAAAGCACAAGGTGTGCAATACTCAGAGACATGGCCAAGGTAAGAAAGGCTGAAAGACGACCACCACTGAACAAGACACACAAGCTGAAACGCCAAGACTGGGCCAAGAAATATCTCAAGACTGATTTTTCTAAGGTTTTATGGACTGATGAAATGAGAGTGAGTCTTGATGGGCCAGATGGATGGGCCCGTGGCTGGATTGGTAAAGGGCAGAGAGCTCCAGTCCGACTCAGACGCCAGCAAGGTGGAGGTGGAGTACTGGTTTGGCTGGTATCAAAGATGAGCTTGTGGGGCCTTTTCGGGTTGAGGATGGAGTCAAGCTCAACCCCCAGTCCTACTGCCAGTTCCTGGAAGACACCTTCTTCAAGCAGTGGTACAGGAAGAAGTCTGCATCCTTCAAGAAAAATATGATTTTCATGCAGGACAATGCTCCATCACACGCTTCCAAGTACTCCACAGCGTGGCTGGCAAGAAAGGGTATAAAAGAAGAAAATCTAATGACATGGCCTCCTTGTTCACCTGATCTGAACCCCATTGAGAACCTGTGGTCCATCATCAAATGTGAGATTTACAAGGAGGGAAAACAGTACACCTCTCTGAACAGTGTCTGGGAGGCTGTGGCTGCTGCTGCACGCAATGTTGATGGTGAACAGATCAAAACACTGACAGAATCCATGGGTGGCAGGCTTTTGAGTGTCCTTGCAAAGAAAGGTGGCTATATTGGTCACTGATTTGTTTTTGTTTTGTTTTTGAATGTTAGAAATGTATATTTGTGAATGTTGAGATGTTATATTGGTTTCACTGGTAATAATAAATAATTGAAATGGGTATATATTTGTTTTTTGTTAAGTTGCCTAACAATTATGCACAGTAATAGTCACCTGCACACACAGATATCCCCCTAACATAGCTATAACTAAAAACAAACTAAAAACTACTTCCAAAAAATATTCAGCTTTGATATTAATGAGTTTTTTGGGTTCATTGAGAACATGGTTGTTGTTCAATAGTAAAATTAATCCTCAAAAATACAACTTGCCTAATAATTCTGCACTCCCTGTACAGCAAACTTCCATCAGATCCCATCCCTAATATTAAAAAAACACTAATCACATTCCTTAAGAAAGGATTGGAAGAACAAGTGATTAACAAACATGAATACACGTATATAAACATAACGCACCCAACTACACCAGTCATATATTTTTTTTACCTAAAGTTCATAAAGATGAAAAAAACCTGGAGCTGAACATAAGCTCCAGAAAACTGTAAGTACAACCTTTGCCCTTGTTAAGATATCAGAACTCCTGACATACTACATTATATTACATTCTCTGTGCTTATTTCACTTATTACCTTGGATTTGAGAACAACACAGGCACTGCCTCCCTGCACCTTTTTCTGCACTTACCAGCAGCTACCTGGATGCTTCTGTGCAGAGCTGAGCTTCCTCACCCTGTCTATCCCCTGCGCTGCTCTCTATGATCCCAGGAGGAAGTCCTCCCAGCAAATTGCGCCCTCTGTCCGCAGGTGGGAAAAGTCCACCAGTAACACTGCTGCTGCAGCTTGTGAAGGGAGACACAGTGCTCCCGACTTCAATTTCAATTGGGGGGAGGAGGGCACAAGGTGGGCACTGCATGATGTAGGGGAGGACATTCGTTACCGCTGGCGCATGCCACACACACTTCTAGTACAACATGGGGACACTGAATACCCTCTTCACGAAGCATACGCGGCAGCCACCACTTGAACCCCCAAAGGGCCCCAAGACCTGCACAATGCTGCAACTCCGAACTATTGTATTTCTTGCTATTGTTTGTTTATTTAAGTTCTAATGTTTTTTAATCTCCTTAGCAAGTGTAGATCAGGCACCAGACCTGACATCAAGCACTGACAGTTGGGTATAGCCCCCCCTAGTGATGCCACTGTTTGTTTTAAATCAGACAGTTGTCCCATTCGACAGACAGAAAGAAAGTATGATTTATATATTTTTCCTGCTTGCACTATCCATGCTCCCTCCATTGATCCTGCCAATCAGTATCCTATCCCTAGGAATTATGGTAAGTAGTATTGCACATGCGTGACTCAATTACGCATGCGCAGTTGAAAAATCTGGCAATGTCACTGATTACTTCCTAGGATGCAAATCGGCTGTGGACGCATGTTATGTATGTTTATAGACTGCAATTCTGTCTGGCAACAAGCATCACTTAGATGCCATTGGCCTCCATGCAGCAGCACTTCATGGAACTTCCCAGTTCCGTACCCTAATGCTTTCTCTGTGCCACATCATCAGCAAGTCTGTCCATCAAACACATTATTAGGGTGCACAATGGTACTAAATGCTTTCTGTCCCTTTCCTAACTCCCTCACTTTGTACTCATTTCCTGCTGTTGAAAATGCTTAGCTGGGGGACTAAGTTGGCTGTAAGGCCCTTAAAATGGAGGGGTGGAGCCTAACTGCCAAAGCAGATGGTCGAACACTACTGAAGCTCCAGGCTATAAGCGACTGAAAGGCACTAAATCAGGGCAATTACCCAGCCAAATCTGACCCCAGGGACCTCACCTGAGAGCCCAGTCATCATGGGGCGCAAGTCCAAAAAGCCCAAAACTGACTAACCTAATCTCGGGATGAATATTGTTGACTTGTGGAGACCGGTGCATGGCACAGGCTGACCTAAGGAGGTTGCTAGGATTTTTCAGATGACATATCCCTTGAAGAAGAAACTATACACTTACCCACGCCAGCGAAACCAACGCAGCCCCCGATGGAACCGGACTCATCTCCGGTCACTATTTCTCTGTTGAAGGGGCTCCTAGCGGAACTACAAAACACATTGCAAGCTGACATAGCTACAATCAGTGGCGGCCTGCAATGCCTGGCAGGCCGCATTGATGCACTGGAGGAAGCTTCCCACAAGGGCTCCCAGCAAATGGAGACGCTGGAACAACAGAACCAAGCACATGAACGCCGCTTTGCGGCACAGGAAGACCGCCGTCCACAGAACAATTTGAAAATTAGGGGGATCCCTGAGGAGGTTCCTGAGGCGGAAATACCACATCTACAGAGGAGATTGATAGGGGCTTTGCTCCTGCCACTGTCCCTAGTGGCCTGATAGTGCATTTCCAGAGCGGTACACATAAAGCTGCCGTCCTGACTGCACTAAGTGGGAAACCCCTCTTCCAATTTGAGAATATGTCACTTGGGTTCTACGCAGACCTATATAGCAGCACACTGGCCTGGCAACGGTTGCTTGAACCTCTCACCATGCTTTTACAACAATGCAACATTCGTTACCGCTGGCACATGCCACACACACTTCTAGTACAACATGGGGACACTGAATACCCTCTTCACGAAGCATACGCGGCA